TGCGACTACGATCACGACTACGACTACAGCTACGACTACGACTACGCCTACAACCAGCATTTGTAGGATTATTGTTATTCCTACTAGGACTGCTATTATTCCGTCGACTCTTCCTCCTACTTCTATGGCTCCTCCTACTACTTCTTCTACACTAAGTGCGAGTACTATTGGTAGTGCTATTCCGGAGGCTACTTCGACTGCGACCATGACTACTGCTATTACTTCTGCCACTTTTACTGCCACCGCTATCACGATTAGTATTATCACTAGCACTACTGTTATTAAGCCTACTACTACTACTACTACTACTACTACTACTACTACTACCACTACTACTACTACTACTACTACTACTACTACTACTACTACTACTACTACTACTACTACTACTATTTCTGCGGCTACCACGACTACTGTTTTGACCACTTTTGCCATTATGTTTACATCACTGCTTCCATTAGTATTAATACGACCACTGCTATTACTAAGTATGCGACTACTACTACGATTACGACTACTACTCTACGTATTTTTAATACTACTATCACTACCACTGCTACTACTACGTCTACTACTACTATTACTACTACTACTACTACTACTACTATTACTACTACTACTACTACTACTACTACTACTATTACTACGGCTACTACTACTACTACTACTACTACTACTACTACTACTACTACGACCACTACTACTAGTATGACTACTACTACTACTACGACGACCACTACTACTTCGGTTACTACTATTGTTACTACTACTACTACTACTACTACTACTACTACTACTACTACTACTACTACTACGACCACTACTACTAGTATGACTAGTACTACTACTACTACTACTACTACTACGACTACTACAACTACTGCTACTACTACTCCGACTACCAGGGTCACACATGTTCGTGTCTATTGAGATTCAATGGCTAACGGGTTCACGTTCTGTACCGGGGCCCACTGCAATACAAGTGGATGTTGGAGACAAAACACTTGGAGAACAATAGGAGGACATTCGGAGCAGAACAGGAGCACGAACGCAGCACACTAGGAGCGCAATAGGAATACACTTGAACACCGCTACAATAGTGCAATAGGACTGCATTCGAAATCCGCTACAATAGGAATGCGATACGAATGCAATATGTCTACGCTACGAATACAATTATAATGCATTGCAATGTGAACCTGGCGGGGATACAACAGGGATACATTAGGAATACGCCACCATAGAACATAGAAAAGGAACACACGATGGACGCACCAGGGTGGGACTACCATAGGAAAAACAGGAATGCAGTTGGCTTCCAATAGAATTCTAGCAGGCACGAAGGTGACGTGTTAAACGTTGCCTTTCGTTCTTATATAGCTTGGAATATAAGCTAATACAGACTCAATACACGCAGTTGGCAGGAAGAGTACACGAATGTGACGCTTGGCACAGGATCTTCATCGGCACGATGGTGACGTGTGACACTTCCGTTTGTTTTTCCCAACCCTCCTTGGTTGGGTATTCGTTTTGAATAGAGCAGTGTGGTCGCGTCCTTCCTCCTCCCGCCTCCCGCCTCTTTCCTGCCTCTTTCTGTCTTGCCTGCGGGGGGCTGTGAAACTGTCGCCAGTTTCGAGGCCTGCTGGGGGGTCCAGCATAGAGGGTAATCGCGGCAGATCCAAATTAGACCTCGCCATTCCTGGGGGGCTGCGATCTGTGAAAATGTCGCCACTTTCGAGGCCTGCTGGGGGGCTCAGCAGAATCGCGGCAGATTCAAATTAGACCTCGCCATCCCTGGGGGGGGGTGCTGCGATCTGTGAAACTGTCGCCACTTTCGAGGCCTGCTGGGGGGTCCAGCATAGAGGGTAATCGCGGCAGATCCAAATTAGACCTCGCCCTCCCTGGGGGGCTGCGATCTGTGAAACTGTCGCCACTTTCGAGGCCTGCTGGGGGGCCCAGCACAGTGAGGGCCACGCGCGGATTCAAATTAGACCTCGCCATCCCTGGGGGGCTGCGATCTGGAAACTGCGAGGCCTGCTCTGCGGACGCCATTTTCGAGGCCTGGGGGGGCCCAGCACAGTGAGGGCCACGGGCAGATTCAAATGAGACCTCGCCATCCCTGCGGGGCTGCGATCTGTGAACCTGTCGCCACTTTCGAGGCCTGCTGTGATCCCCGTTTTCGAAGTGGCTAGGAGTGCTCAGGAATTGTAAATCATCAGCTTTATCAAGCCCTTTTCCTGTAGCCAGTGTCCTGCGAGTCTCCCGAATTCCGTCTGCAGACATATGTAACCCTCGCTCCGTCATCGCCCCCTTATAAAGTATCCTAAACTATTTGCGCCCCGCTTTTGCGCAGGGGTTGGGTACGTCGCCAGGGTATTTTTTTGTTTTTTGCTACAGCCGCTATACAGACAGAAGCAGGAATAATACACCAAGGCGAATTTAGGCGCGACGCGATGGCGATGTGCGAGTATTGCTACTACGACTACTACTACTACTACTA